CAGCACAGGACAGGTGAGATCAGGCACACTGCAAGAAGAAAAGACTAGTTCTGCTGAGGTAAGTTCAACATGCAGCACTTTTGGGAAACTTTTCAATATACCTCGATGGCCTCTTGTTTCAATACTGTGTGTGCATTGGTGTAAAATAACTAAGTACATCACCTATTGTGCAAAATGCACTTTTTGATGTCTTTTATGCCTAAATACGTGTCCCCCGGTGTGTAGAGTAGAGTCTCACAAAGTGTCAGAAAATACAACCCTCTCAATTACTCCTTACCCACATCTCTAAAAACGGGGGTACAACGGAGCTGATCCAGATTTTATGCGGGGGGGAAAGGGGGCGTGGCCAGCAGCAGCTCGGTTACATTTAAAAGGGCCAGACCCAGAATCAGCACTTCTCTAACAGGGCTGAAATAGAGGGGTATGAGGCATGGCTAGAATGGGGGATCTGTTTGGTATTTTGAGCAAAACACTTGTGACATGTTATTTATAGATATGGCCCTATAATATATATCTAATATAGTATAATATGGGACCTTTAAGTACAATTATGAGGTACTTTACTTGAGTATTTCCATTGTAAGCTACTTTGTACTTCTTATCCACTACAATTCAGAGGTAAACATTTTTACTTTTACTCCACTACATTTATGTAGAACTATAAGTTACTTTGCAGATGTGGATCCATTGCTGAAAACTCCAGGGTATAAAAGCCAGGAGGGGGCCAAACCCTTATGACCACATTGGCAACAGTCTTCATTTTTCTTAAAGTGGACCTATCATGCTATATTTGAACAATATATTGTAGGGCCATACCTATAGAAAGTATATAAATATAGTTTTTTTTTCAAAATACCAAAACCTGCATTTTAGCCATGCCTCATTTAGCTCTATTTGCTATTTCCAGCCCTGTTTTTTCAGGGGCTGATTCTGTGAGTAGCTTTAATGCAAATGAGCTGCAGCTGACCACGCCCCCCTGCAGGAGAGGGGAGCGTGCTTTGATCAGCTGCTGGGCTCTCTGAAGAGGGGGAGAAAAAAAGATCTCCGTCCTCCGTGTTTTATTCTTATAAAATATAAAATCCTATTTATATATACTTCTTTGCCAGGAATTTCATTGGAAAAAACTCATCATCCTGACAAGAGACCACTGTGTCTTCTTTGTTTTCCTCTCATTAAAATGAATCATCTTGACCTTGCAGCAAAAAAGAGCCATCTGGTCATAATGTTGACATTTAAGATACGTTGATTTGCATTTTTCTTACACAATGAAACCTCGGCCATGAGGGTTATTTAAAGACTAAATCACGGATCAGTCGACTTGTTGAGATTTTTTGCAGTGTAATGCACCAACTCTTCCTTTCCCTCTCATCCCTCTTCCCCGTGTTCGTTCATCATCAAATGCTCCTCAGTGAGGCAGAGACAGACTGACTCACAGCCATGTCCAATTAGCCCGACATGTATCTGGACACAAAGCACAAATCCAGGATTGTTGGCCCCTGCTGCGTCACAGATCTGCTCTCATGTAGCTGACTTAGCCTGAGTCGACCCCTCAAACTTTCTATAGGATGAAGACTCTGCCTCCCCCCCTCTCAGGCTCTTTCTCACCTTTCCTTCTGGTCTGTCTCTCTGCAACACCACAGTGCTGCAGCCTGTCAGACATTCTGCATTTCTGTCATTTTCAGCAATGATATAGAAATGTTTTGAGTTCTCTTTCACCCTTAATGTAATCTCTGACTTTTTGATTTGAGTCTCTTTGGCTCTCCAGCATTTAATGTGTTTTTTTCTCATTTGGCCAGGTAACAGCGCTCAGAGAGCTGCGAACAAACACAACACCCACACTGCTCAATTACGTCAGTGGAGCAATTTTCTACCAAAAGACACTTTGCAATAAACCAGCTAACCTTCCACACAAACTCCACACTGTATAAGCCTCCCTGTACTGCTGTCGAAAAGGGGGGTTTATGGGGAAGGAGTGGGGTGTCACTAGCAAGGCAGTTCCCATGGCAACATACAGGTGACTCACCAGCCGGTGATGCAGTTGCCGTGACAACCTGCAGTGTGTAGCATCGCTGTGAGAGGGAAGAGTGCATTGTGGGTGTTTGTTGTCGTGGGAGTGGAAGCAGACCGAAGCGCTTTCAGGACGCAGAAACAGAATCGATCCAAAGGTCCGAGCCTTTGGTCCGAGTGGACTCCAGAGGGAGAGAACTGAATGAAAATGGAGGGCTTGATATTTACTCTGCTGCAAACTCTTATTTGGACTGGATTTAAAGTCCAGAATTCTGGGTAATAAAACATTTCATCTTGTTCTTTGCAGCTAAAATCATCTTTGTGAATGAATTTACAAAATACCAGAGGTGGGAGAAGTATACTCAGATATTTTACTTGAGTACAAGTAGAAGTACCGGAGTGTAGAAATACTTTGTTCGAATGAAAAGTCCTGCAATCAAAATGTTACTCAAGTAAAAGTAATTTTAAAAAAGCATCAAAATATACTTAAAGTACAAAAAGTTAAATAATGCAGATTCGCCCATTTCGGCATTATATATAATATATGTTATGATTATGTTATTGATCATGAAAGTGTTCTCAAAGCTGGTAAAGGTGCAGCTAGTTTGAATGACTCTGTATACTGCAGGGTAGCTTGTGAATTTACTCCAGGTGGAACTAAAGTCTGATTTAAGGGTTGATTATATTTCACATCATTAATTCAAATCTGTAAAGTAACTAAAGGTATTAAATAAATGTAGTGGAGTAAAAGTACACCATTTAGCTCTGAATTGTAGTGGAGTAGAAGAATGAAGTAGCAAAAATAAAAGTAAGTAAAGTACAAGTATCTCAAATGTACACCACTGCAAACTAAGGAGTGCTTTGTGTTAAAGTAGAAAATAATGAAAGCATCATGATTACATATTTTTGTGGATGAAATGTTTACGTGAAATATGAGGTGTTCCTCGTGGGGATGAGCTCAAATTAGCCTCCCCTCAGCTTTACACAGTGTTTAAGTGTCTTTCAGCTCAGTGCTTCATTTGAACAATTATTGTCAGGCAGCTATTTTGAGCGCACACACAAATACTGATGAACATGCAGTATGCTTCCTGCTCTGCACCACACTAAAGACTGTTTGACAAGCTACAGTGTTCCATGATTGGCTATTGAAGATGATGGAGCATTGAGACCAGAATGCATTGCATAACAAAACACAAACTTGCCATATAAATAAATAATACGAGAAGTTTTATTAAATCAAACAAATGTTTCTGTCAAATGCTATTGCACTTTTTTTGTGGAGTTCAGTTCAACAATGCCCCCTGGGTAGAATCTGTTTTCAAACCAGGCAGTGCGGGTCTTAAAGAAACGGTTAGCTGTATCCTTCAGACGCTGCTCTGCTGAGGCAGCGTGATCTGAAGATGAGGGCAGGGGAGGTCCAATTATTTTATGTGCTATGTTTATAATCCTCTTGAGAGCTCTTCTGCTGTACAGTTGGTTACCATACTGTAATACAGTGTGTCATTAAACTGTAGATCAGAGGTATAAGGGCAGCAGCAGCTTCACAGACACGTTGGTTTTCATAAGTGTCCTCAGGAGGTCGTTGATAATGCGTCAATGTTATGATTATAGCTTGTTGTGCTGATTTAAAAAAGGGGGAAGTCGATTCATTTGTCTGTCTAACCGGAGAACACAACTGATTTAGTTCTGCATTTGTAAAAAAAAAGTGTTAGGCTAACAGTGGACAATTAAAAAAAGGGATAAAATCGATGCGGCAGAACCAAAGATATCGTCTTTTTCACTCCATGCATTCTCTCTCATGGTCAGAACCTGGATCCTACATTTCCCTGAATGCAACGTGCTTAGGATTAAGTTGCTGACTCAAGTGATGTTATTCGAGGTGATTTCTCAGTCTTCATGCAGCTGGAGCAGGATTAACATTGGATCTGTGCATGCATTCTTTTTAAATCACACTCTCTGCTATAGGCATAGATTCAACAATGTATCCCACACAGCGTCGCTCTGACACTCACCCACATTTCCCACACCTGTTTATTTCTAAGAAACGTGTGTTAATGTTGAATAAACAATACTTGGCATTTAGGTGGTTCACGTCTTCCACTCAAGTTGTGATCATCACAACAGCGGGATGTTCATATGGATTCCTTCTTGTGAACAAAGTAAAGATGATCCAATATGGGAGCCACCATATGCTCCACTGTCAGATTTTAAGCTAATTAAGGACCAGGAACAAAGTGTGTACAAAGATTCACAACATGTAAATACTGTAAAGGAAAGAAGGGAGCAATTATCGAGAGCCTGAGGGACATTTGGGAGGAGTAATAGAGAATGTATTACATTTTTTACTCCAGATCCTTATTATGAAACGGAAAATCTAATACAGATTTTGTGAGGAATAAATGTATTATTTGTATTAATGTATTTTCAATTAATAGTATTTCATGCATTCAGGCTCCTTTGACAAACAAAAGAATGAGAAATTACATAAATAAATAAATGTTGTAATTAATCACAAGATTCTGAAAGGAAGGAAACCCCCCTATGCAGTAAAATCACTACCATGGGAAACATTTACCAGTTTAGAGAAAACATGGAGGGGTGGGGGAGCAGAGGGGAGATAACAAGTCAGGATATGTCCTCACAACATCTTAAGATGTGAATCCGTTTAAAAAAATTAAAAAGCGATACTTTGGTGTGTCGGGCCTGATTCAGTATATTTCCACTATGATAAAACGCAGTGTCAAGTCAAGGTTGTGTATACAGTATATGTCAAGAAAAAAGTACAAGAGCAGTTTGAAAGATTAAGAACATATCTTTCCTTTCATGTTCTTTAAAATAAAACATTACAGAGTGACCGGGTAAAACATTATGGTTTAGCCTTTTGAACAAACATTTTAAAAAGGTAATACAACTTGAACCTCCCTTTATCATTTGCATACAGCATACAATGCACATTTTCCTGTAAGAAAGTGAAGTTTCCTAAGTTCACTTACCATCGCGTGGACAGGCGTTGAGCCGGGGGCTGATATCGAGGGAGCAGGGTTTGCGTGTGACGGCTGTGGTCACAGACTCGTACGGGTTGTCCTCGTCCTCTGGTAGGAAAACGTCCAGAGATGGAGAGGCGACAAGCTCCGCTGAACGCTTCGAATCCTGGGAGAAGGGCAGAGAGAACAACAGAGAGATATGAGGGCAATTTGTTATACATACCACATTATCCAGTTACAGAGTGTGCATAATGTGATGGGAAAAGGGGATTCCAACCACGACTCCAACATTTATTAAGCTAACAAAACACTAATAACACTTATTAACTATGTACTGGCCTATTATCCTGTCAAACAAAGCCATACATGATGAATAATGTTGATAAATAGTGTTTGGAAAGCACACTAAAGGGCCCTCTCACTGAGTGCAGATGAGTCATGAGAAAGTCATTTTGATTTTATGATCTGTTATCAAAAGAAAAAGAAAGATGTTCAAAGTGGATTTTAAAATGTGTGGTGAACAGTGTCCATTTTGTTGTTCATGTTGGCCTGAAGTGCATCATTAGAAACAAACCAAACACATCAGCGCAGTAATCTCTCAGGTCAGCTCGAGGCTATCATTCAAGTTCAACCACGTTCACACTGCTGGATTATCATGAAAGATTCAGGCCACCGTTCAAAGCAAACACTGAGAGAAAAGGTTTACAAAGTTTGAATAATTCTTCTTTTCAGTCCTGGAGAGTTTATGATCCCTTCAGGATGTTTGTCTCCGTCACTCTGATCAATGATGCTTTGCTGGACCTTTTATAAAAGTCAAAGTCAGGACGTTTGTTAATTAGTTTTCTGTTAGGGGTAAAACAGCAAATGTTTTTTTTATGTGACAACTTAATTAGAAATTGTCTACACACTGCAAATATGTCTTAAAGGTCCCATGTCATGCTTTTCCGGTTAGTACCCGTCCCCTTGTGTGTTATGAAGGTTTTTATGCATGTAAACGGTGTGCAGAGTCAAAACCCTCAAAGTACACCCTGTAGCGAGTACAACTCTAACACAGAAAATACCTCCCCAAAACGCCTCGTTGGAGATACGTCATTGTCCATTTGATTCTTCCGGGTACGCATGATGTCAACCGTAGCCGTTACGTTAAGCCCCCGCTGATTGGTCCAAATTGACCAACACACGGACTTCCTCACACACACACTCAGTGCAAGCAGCTCTGCTGATCTCTCCTCCCTGGCTGATAACAGACAGTTGGGATCGCGGCGAAATTCTCTCTGCAGACCCATTCTCACAGCGTTTATCAACCTTTTTCTTACTCAATATCAAGCCACACTTATTGTTTTTACTTCGGCTGTGACTTTGTGTGCTCAGGATGAGTTTCGCTGTGTATCGCTAAACAAGGAAACAACACCTCCACGGAGCTTAGCGCGATTCACAACGTCCCGACCAATCAGAGCACACTGTGCTCACAGGGAGGGTGGGGGCTGGAGCTATTGGAGCTACAACTAGCCGTTAAAGGTAGAGAGTGAAATTCAGTGAATACACGTAGTTTACAGAGATGCTGTTTGAGAAACCAATGTGAGTTTGGAAAATTGCACAATATAAATCTATTCTAGCAGACCTCAACAATGGAATTATGATCAGTGGAAATGGCCATGACATGGGACCTTTAAAATCTTGAATTTGAAATGTAAAATAAAATATAAGACTATTATTAGATTGTTAGGTTTCAATTATTAACTCCCTAACTCATGAGGTAGCTGTTGTTAAATATATCCTTGTGTGCCTTCAGGGTCTCATCACATGGTGGTATTAATACATTGAAAAAACCATCAAAACAACTGATAACAGTACGCGACATTCTTACAAACACAATAACAACAAAGCTACAAGGCCTTGAATCAATTTTGACCTAAATTGCAACGCATTCTACTTGTTTGTAAGAATAAAGGAATATGATCTATATGGCAATTACATATTCTGAGTTCAATAGCAACATGTAAACGTCATGTTAAATATGATCTCAGCTGAAATGAAAACATCCTCATTAGTTCAGCAGAGAAGTGTATCTATCCTGCTGTTTTGAAACAATGTCTAAAAGAAACACTGGTAGTTCTGTGAGTATTTATGTGTCTTAAAATCTCCTAAGAGGTCTAACTGCAGGTCCAAGCTCCTCCTGTATACTACCATTTGCATACAAAATGATAGCATCAAAGATTTTAGCCTAAAGCAACTCGCAGCATTTTGAGAGCAGCTCATATTTTAGAGGTGATTAACTCAGAGTAACATGTTAGGAAATGTGTTTTGTCACCTTTATATAACAGTGTCCTCTTTGGGTATTCAAGGAGAGCTTCAGACCATATTTTGTTGCAGCATTGCTGAAAAGGTTAGGCCCCAAAGGGCTCAGAGAGAGAAATGAGGAGCAAAAGGTCCCTTATCTGTGAGGCAGATGTGTTCCCAGAAAGAATGAAAAACAAGAGTGAGCGATGTGAAGCAGGGAAAAGGTTACAGGGCGAGCGTCATTTCAGCCACAGAGACAAAACATTTGGTTCCAGCGATGTCTGCCTCTTCCCCATAAATCAACACTCCATCATCATTTCTGTCTGTGGCCCCCTGCCCCCGGTTATACCCTTCCTAATGGGATCAGTGGTAAACTTGTCACCATGGCGATAAGCTGTAATTTGTGGCTACAACTGCACACTCTCTCCCCTCTGACTTTTGTTGCTTCTACCCTCTGCTTTCCTTATTTAACGGCCATTATTCCTCCTTTCATGGTCTGTGAGCTACTACATTACCCAGACTGCAACAGGTCATCAATCACATACTGGGCAACCTCAAAGTGGATTCATCATTCCCGCTGACAGAGCAATCAGTCCCTTGATGATTTCTCTCCATCGCGCTCTCTGCACTCAGTCTGAGACTTCTTTCACACCGCACTTTAGTAAAAAGCCTACAAACTACGACCCCCCTTCCCCCCCCCCCCCCCCTTTCTCCATCAGCACTCAATTAGACTGCCATTACCAGCTAATGGAGACCTGGTCTGTCTTTATGCCTCCACTCAGCAGGGGGTCCTGTCTCGGCTGATTGGATGTGACACGATGATTAGCTGCAGACTTCCGATGGAGCTGCTGCTAAATACAAACTCTGGATTCATTATGAAGCTCAGATTAAAGGTGCGATTCATCGTATTCAAATTCATTCTAGCCACATGTTGATTTAAAAAGCAGGAGGCAGCCTCAACACTAACATGTAAACTGCTTCTGACTGTGTTCACATGCACTCAGGAAGTCTATGTACACGTGGCTTTCGGCAGTATCCTAATTTGTTCATTTAAACCAGAAATTGGGTTTGTGTAATTGATTAGAGAAACCTGACTTCCCCAGTTAGATTTATCCTGGATAAAGCCATTTATACTGTACACGTGACTGCATTTATAATCAGCTTTACCCACTTGAGCATGATGCAAGATGGAAGCATCACTTTGATCACTGTTTGCCAGCAAATAACATCTTCTCTACTTCTGTCTGTTTTTAGGCCTCAACTTCAAGCATACATTTAATGAAATGCATATTTGTTTTGAATGCTGATAAATGAAAATTGTTGTGTCTCCTTACGTTTACTTTTTTGAAATATTAGGACGAGACCGCTAACTTTCACTAACAATAAAAAAGGGTTTAAATGCAACCATATGAAATAAATCTCTCTCGAGGTTGTGAGCAGATATTGTAGAAATAACAGTAGAAGTAAGCATTAATAACCATCATGCTTTAACTTGGCAGATACAATCATAGTTTTGAGACAATAATGGCAAACAACTGTGATCCCGGCGGCATTAAGACTAATACAAAACATTCATCTTCGCAAATCATTTGTTTGTTATCATCATTTCTACGAGACAGGATTGCTATGACAGCAGCACGCACACACAGAGTCCTAAAGTCTGACTGAGACTGAAAGCATCACATAGTTGGCTCTGGAAATAGATGTCAGTTCTAATTTCTAACCAATCTTCTCACTGAACAATCAGCTCTTTAACACACACACTCTGCATCACTGACAGTTAAAGAAAGAGAGCAAATCCTCCAAAATCAGAGGTCAGTTATTCAAAACTCTGATTACAGACTGCTGCATGTGAACACAGATCCTCAGTCAATTTGATTTCCTACATAACCTAATTTCCTGAGTAACCTTGTTCCATGCAGCGATTAAACAAACCACAGTGTGTGTGTGACAACTAGGAAATGCAACATATTGCTCTATGGAACCAAGCTGGGAGAGGGTGATACTAGAAGAGACAGGAAGTGACGGGATTCATGGGAAATGAGCAGCCCTGATATGAAAACATAACACCAGCTCTATTATTTAGGATGAAAGAGAGCGGAGAGATTGAGGCTATAAAACATCTCAACCGTGGTCTCATTTGTTTACAGTAATCACCAAGATGTCACCGTGAATTAACAATGATATACGGACGCTTTAAAATGCCACAGGTGGAGACGCAGAAGAGAAAGCACATGAGACAAGCTCCAAGACAGATAGAGCTGAAGAAAGAGATTCCTCTGAAGTGTCTACAGGGAGAAATAAATGAAAATGACAGAGGGGGAAGGAAGAAGAAAGCAGGAATTGATTAAGAAATGTGCCTGAAATGATCTTTGAGAGGACAATGAAATGAGGAATCATCCATAACGTGCTGTTAATTAATTTGCTTTTCTCCCACCAGTCTATTTTTCCCCCCTCGCTCTTTTTTCTTCACATCACCTCTCATTATTCCCTAAATCTCAAACAGAGAGTGAAAGAGTGAGGATAAAGCTGACAGGCGTAACAAAACCCATCAGCCAGGGAAGAGGCAGAGCGAGAGGCAAACACAGGTGGATCAAAAGACGCCAAGATCCATCTCAAACCTTACTTTGGAGTTGTTGTCAGTGAATCCCAAGGAGAGGAGTACGAGAGACAGAGCGGGAAGAAGGACATGAGGGGAAGGGAAGCAGAGGAAGTGGGAGTGCAGTGAGTTTGGAGCAGGGATATCCTCACAAGCATAGAAAAGAAACAGAAATGCAAGTCAAGAACAGGACATTTAGCCAAACAAAAAGCAACAAGGGTCAAATGTGAACCTTTCTCGCCGGCTGAAAACTACTTTGCACTCGATCCTGAAGAGGACGCTCACTG